TTTGCAATGTACCTTTTTACCGGACCGTACTAAGTCTCCGCGTTCTGAATTTTAAACAATGGACAGTACAAAGTCAACGTTTACCAATTTGCTGTCCAAAAAAAGGACGAAACGACTTAACACCAAATCATACAAAAAGAGGTTATTGCTGGGTCTACAAAACATTCCGATGACTGGTCAGGGTATGATGAACTGTCTGACCGCGGGTACAACGGTTGTACCACAACCACTATGTTGTAAATCATTGCGAAAATTTCGTAGATTTAAAATCAATGGCACATACCCAGAGAATTGAATGTTTATGGCGGCCTCTAAGACTAAAAATCGTGAAAAATATTTGTGGTACAACTCTAGATTTGCTTCCAAGGTATAATATATTATAATATAATAATAATAATAATACGAAGGTAAATATATATATAATAATAATTACAGGTATCTCGTTGAAACGTGGTATTAATAAAAGTGATACATTTAACGCTTTTCTGAGGGACATGGATTAACTATTCTAATATTTATTTATTTTATTTAAAAAAACATTTTATATTTATTATTCATAATTATTATTGAAACAAATAACGAGACGGCGACAAAACAAGGACGAGCGTTGATAATATAATATAATCATTTTTGTTCGTTATTAAAACTACTTTACATACCTAATTCCACTTATTACTAGAATATATTGTCTAAAATCGAAATATATTTGAAGGGTGGAAAAAAAGGTAGAGTTCATACAAGAAGATAGCCGAAAAATCTTTTGGTAAATAATTCATCGATTATTTAAGTCTAAATTATTATAATTCAATGTCATTACTATTAAAAAAACTCATATTCTCTTCAATTGGGATTTTTAGAATTACACGCATAAAACAACAATTTAATTCATAATTACTAATAGCTTAAAAAGAATCAAATTATAAATTAATTATGGAATATCATGTTAAATTCAACAGAGGGAAACAAGCAATATCATAAGATGTGAAAAGAGTAAATATACAAGGCGATTCTTTTATTAAACAACACTTATATGGTATTTTTGTGTAAATACCACGTAACATACACCTATAACACACAAACACCACCCAAAACCACYCAAYTTTGGKAGGCTATATCTTGTAAACGGATTAACGAAAAATGAAAATTTAAACGTGAAAATGCATTGAAAAAATAGCCTTTTTAGTTTATGAAATTTTAAGTATAGGTTGTCATTTAAAAATCAAAAGTTGATAATGGTTTACATGATAAATATAAGGGTGAAAATATTTAAAAAATATATAGTTCTAGAACAAGATGGATCTACAATTTTGAAAAAAAAAATTTGAAAAAGTCAATAGTTTTTGAAATAATGAGTGTTGTTTGATATAAGAATCACCCTGTATACAACATATAATGAACAATGCGGAACAGGATTATGAAGCAAATAGGATTAGAGATATGKACAGTCGTATTAATAATTTAAGAGGAAACTACAAAAAGAAAGATTTCTGAGACAAGAAGATGGATTCCTGATAACAACTGACAACGATATAGCCAAAAAATGGGGGAAATGCTTTGGAGACTTGCTAAACTGTGAAGAACCAGRWGAAACCTTTCCTTTTAACATAGAAAATGAGAATGCTCAAGATTACCTACTCTAGATGAGGTAAAAACTCAAATAAACAATTTAAAAAATCACAAGACACCAAKGGAAGATGAAATCCAAGCAGAACTCCTTAAACAAGGTGGGGATGAAAGCTCATTTAGAGTGTGGAAACTGATCTGCCGAATATGGACAAATGGAGAATTACCTGTACAATGGAGGACAGCGGTGATATGTCCAATGCACAAGAAAGGAAACAAACAAGACTATAACAATTATAGAAGAATAGCTCTTCTAAATGTAACATACAAGGTTCTTTCAAATTGCATCCTATCAAGGCTAAAAGGTAAAGCAGAAGAAATCTTAGGTAACTATCARGGAGGATTTAGATCAGGAAGATCGACGATAGATCAGATATTCATCCTCAGACAATTATTCCAAAAAGTATTGGAATTTGACAAAGAGATACACGTCCTTTTCATTGATTTCAAAACAGTGTATGACAGTATCCACAGGACAAGCATAATCAACTATTTGAAATAATTTAATTTACCACACAAACATAAAAGTTTAATTGAAATGAGCATTACAAAAACATTCGTTAAGATTAAGATAGGAGCTGCAGAAACAGAACCAATACTAGTAAAATATAAGCTAAGATAGGGAGACTTTATATCACCAATTCTGTTTAAAATAATTCTAGAGAAAGTAATAAGAGAAATGAACAAACAACCACAAGAAGGTTTTAATCTACAGGAATCGAATGTAGCTTTGCTGGCGTATGCGGACGATGTGATACTAATGAGCAATTTACATAATAATCTGAAATCACTGTTTACCCGATTAGAAGAAATGGCTAAGAAAGTTAGACTACGTGTAAATGAAGATAAAACCGAATACATGGTCATGGGGAGAAGAGATAGCGGTGCCATATTCCCACACATGAAAGTTGGTAGGTATGAGTTCAGTAGAGCCAAACAAGTWAAGTACCTAGGTTCAATAGTAACAGAAAAAAATGAAACTATCAAAGAAGTTGCGGCAAGAATTGTATCAGGAAATAAGTGCTTTTATGGATTCTCAAAAATAATAGAATCACAATCCTTGTCGTTAGAAATGAAAAAAACAGTTAGGTACATACAACCTTAATACGCCCAGTTGAACCTGAACATTAAGAAAGAATGAGGAAAGAAAACTTATGATCTTTGAAAGTAAAATTCTAAGGAAAATTTTTGGACCAACGAAAGAAAGAGAAACGGGTGAGTAGAGAATAAAAAAAAAATAATAAATTGGAAAGTGACGTATTTAAAAAAGTAAACATAGTAAATACAATAAGTAACCGAAGAGTTCATTGTGCCGGACACCGCTAGGCAAATACAGAACAATATAATAAGGATGACTATGGACGAGAACCTAGTCGGTAAAAGATCACTATGRAGACCCCAATTAAGGGAAGAAGATATGATAAAAAAGACGTGTTGGCATTGAATGGTGAATCGGGTTGGAAAGCACGAGATTTGGATAGAGAAGGCTGGAGAATTGGATGTGTGACGAGATGGTCTTAATGGCCGACAAACCCAAAAGAAGAAGAAGATATTGTGTTAAAAGGTTTTGAATGTAGCTTATGAAGTTTTATTGTGTTTCACTGTCATGTTATTTATTTATGAAATTGGGTTGTATTATTTTTAGCATGTAATTTTAGTGTCTTAGTATATAATTTAACTCTCTACCACCATCACAAACATTGCGCTTAAAGRAGGTAGATATTTTATTGTAAACATTTTAATAATATGTAATTTATGTTTTGTAATTTCATATTTAAAATATATATATATATATATAAATATTTAATATTTAGTATATTTTTGGCGGAAAGATGGTGACACCATTGTATTTTTATTTTAGTTGTATGATCATTCTCTTACCCCCGCAACTTTATTGGACAAAATGTATGCAAAAATCCTGCTACACAATGCACTCTTTCATTTAAAAAAAAATCAAGAAGATCTGATGAGTACTTTCAGAGTTTACCCCGTACAAAGATTTTCATTTCACATTTATATAAGCAGATCATTAATGGATCGAATATTATTATATTATTTAAAGCTGACCCAGTTAAATATTATAACATATTATACCTACATTAAATTTAAAACCTTCCCAGAGACGCGACCTACTTCTAAACCAACTAAAATAACTATAAAAGTACTAAGAATAAAAATATGTGAAAACAATGCATTAAGTTTAGGTCATTGAAACTGGTTCAAATTCGAGACACTTAGTACAATAGTCCTACTGAAGTTCAACTGCGTTATAGAATTTTCGATACGCAGCAATAATTTAACGGCTTTTTAAAAAGCAAATTCATAAATTCTTATGTAACTCTTGTGACTTAATCTGTKGACTTTTTGAAAACGTTGTATACAGGTAGCCTATAACATTTCTCGATAATAACAATCCAATACAAAAATAATTTTTTAATTCGAACCCGTAATTCCTGATATTATCGCGTTCAAACTTTTTTAGTTCTTTAGCCTTATAGTATTAAAAATTATCAGTGGTTGACTTTGAGGGGGGCACGGGGAGACTGAGTACCTCAACTTATTTTTAGGATACCCAAGCTAGGGGTTGGCTAATTAAATACACAGCACATCTCTTCACTCCTTTTCATACAATGTGCTGGTCCCCCAGTAATAGCTTTTAATCCAGCCAATTACGATAAGTCATGGATCTTCAATGGAAGGGAAGAGGTGAAATTGAAGTATGCTGTCCAAAAAGACAAGTAAAAACCAGTGATAATAATTATTCTGATCTGTGAAATCTTTTAGATGAAGAAATATAATAACAGAAATAATAATAATAATTATACTACATAGGTATAAAAGTTTTTCATTGTTTTCTATATTATTAGTAAAAACTACCTAATAAATTATGATATTATTTTATATTATGTAATGATTCATTAATACGTGTTTCTTAGTTTTTTATTATGCTTCTTAAACTTTTTAAGGGACTCCCCCTCCTCATAGTTATGTGTTTGATTACATTTTTTAAAGTAGCTTGAGTACCTCTACTACTTTATTCCCAAGTCAACTACTGATTAGAATAGATATTAATACTTTACTAATATTAAATATTAAATCAAATCACAGCTGGGTATAAATTTATCAACATTTAGGTAAAGCTATATTAAATGTATTTTTTTATAATAGCTTTTATAATGTATGACATTTTTAGTATAGGTTGACAATTGAAAACCAAGTTAATATATTTATTAGGCAAGTAATTGGTAATAAAAATTAAAAACAATTTAAAAAAAGCATTTTTTAGGAAAATAAATCTTTACTATAAATATGTTTTTGTATAATGAGTTAAATGAATTACCTAGAATAGAAAAGCAGACCATATTACAATAATTTACCTTGGTCTATAACGCGTCACTTGAATTTCTGAACCAAATAAAGTAACAGTATGAACTATTCTCCCAATACTCAGCCGCATTTCAATAAATCGTTCATCATGAACTGTTGATCTCATGACAATACTATTTATCTTCTTTTTTTGTTCGGGATTTTCATCTTTACTTACAACCAACTGGAAACCCTATTAAATAAACATTTTATGATCTAAAAATTTATATTATTGAGACAAATAAATTACAAAAACATTAATTCAGATTTTTTTTACAGTAACACAATTTAAGTTAAGATGAATTTAAGAAGCTTCTAGAGACTAAAATAAAATAATTTATTAAGCTTAAAATGTGATTTAGGTGTGTTAACTAAAATTTTATTCTCTCATTATTTATAAATCGAAATATACCTATTATTATTTTCTATAATTTAATTTAATTTAAGCTGCAGTATAAGTAAAAGTAATATTATAGCTGTAAGCTTTTAAATTACCCAGAAAGTATTTAACTAACTAAAAAAAAAATCATATTAAAAATGTAAAGTAGAGGCTAGAGATGAATTAACCATCTGATTGATGGACAGTTGGACATTTTATTTAATAGTGGAAAAATAATCTTAATTAATAATGATTAATGGAAAATAATGTAGCTACAATACTACAACAAAATAATTCTATACATAGTTTACAAAAAATTCTGATCAAATTACACCTACGATAAAACATTATTGTAATGGAATAAAAAGGATAGTTTTCCCAGATTAATAAATATAYCGAAAAAAATAAAAAAATAACAACTTCATAAAACGTTCTATCAATGAAATAGGTAATGAATACGTTTTATATATATGCTCTTACTTGAGATAAACGTTGGCATATCATTTGATAAAAAACTTCTAAAGCCGATAGTGGTTGACGATAAACGGCTCTTTGCAAGGCAACTTCAGCATTTACATAATCAGGTAACAGATTGTAATTTGAAAATAAATAATATGTTTGAAGATTTATCTCATCCGGAAAATAGTCAGTTGTTATTGGTAAACACGCAGGAAACACAAGTGATTTCCAATCAACACCTGTTAAAATATTTATTTTTGTTTTATTAATTTTTTGTAGGTGTGTCTTAAATATGTTGAAATTCATCTGGAATTTGTTTTCATAAACATTTATATTTGCATTATGCAATGCTTTATTTTACAATATTTGTTTGACTTTACACTCATAATAAAATCAAAAAACTTAAGATAGTTGATTTTCAAGAACACTTTTTTAAAGAAAATTTAAAAATTAAATAATAAAAAGATTTAAAGACTAACTAAAAGCAACTAAGCTAATGACAATTATTAAAAAAATTAATAGTAATCAAATGTTAGATATAACTTTCCTTATAAACACAAAGGATTAAATAAAATTGACTTCAGATAAAGATCATAATTTAATTATAACTAATTATATAATATAAATATATTAAATACATTTCATGTATAGTATACTCGTATAATATATATAATGTTACCAGCAATATGGATAATCCGGTATATAGCAAAATACTTAAGCATTATATAAAATGCCAAAAATTACTCGGTCATATACATAATACTAGCTTTGCTTAGGTATTATGTATAATGCCAAACATAGAGTAGAAAATATGATAAATATAAACAAAATTGGGTATTGCCAGTTACCAACAACTTAATGTATATTGCCTAYCATACATGCGCGTGTCATGTGTGACAATTTGATGTGATAAAGATTAAAATTCTTATTCTATTACTTAAATAATAATAATGAGCAATTATATGAAAATACTTATTAGTTATTACTTATAATTGTATTACATTATCGTCATTTTTGAGTCTTGTAGCAGTGTGGCTTTATTGAGGATATGATTAATATGAAGTCAAATTTATATAATAAGCTACATACAAATCGAAAAGGTTTGACTAATAATACTAGTTTTTTTTTATCTGATAGACAATAATATAATGAGTTGATAGGAATTATTTTATTTCATTTATAAAGTGTTCTAGTCATACAAGGTCATCAAACTTGGTTGATAGAAATTATTTTAGAACATAAAGTTGGACGTAAGAAAAAACAGCCTAAAGACTTCCATTAAATTAAAAGGTAAGAAATTCATATTAAAAAATATCCCTTAAATTCTTACAAGCAACTATTTTAAATTTCTGAACAAAGTGATGAATGTATTGATTTTACAAAGATATGTATTTTTACACGATAAGTACTTAAAATTATGCTTCGATTTTCAACTTCAAGTTTTTTGTTCTATAAATGTCAATCAAATTTTATTTGTTAGGTAAAAAAACTTAAAAATTTAAGATAAGAATCTTACTACATWACTAAAATGTTAGTTGAAAAATATTTAAAACACAATGTCACAATTTTCCCACCTTTTTTTTATTTAGATTTATTTTTATTAATTTCTTTCTGTTGTTGTAGGTATGATATTATGCTGGTTGTACAAGGAAAAACAAAACTTATATTTCCTGGCCAAGGGTTTAAAAATGTGTTTTTAAAACAAAGTGTTAAAATAAAAAGTGGATTTGCATTAGAAAATAATGTTTTGTGCACTTCAAAATGCCATTTTTCTACAGCATGTTGTAATAGTAATAATTATAAGAATATTTATATTATATTATAAGTATAACATATAATGATAAATTGTTTTTTACTTTGCCTAAAAAAATTGTATAGTGTTAGTATAGTGTTAAAACTCACAATGAGAAAATTTCATAAAAGACCAAAATCGATTTTGTCGAAAAATGAGTGTGCATCAAATTTCCCGTTTTCMCCTTAATTTTTAGTTTGTTTATCCCAWTTATTTAAAATAATATTAATAATTTTTCACTTTTGACCACCCAAAGTACCAACTAGATTCACTTTCTGATCGAACGAGGTACTGAAGTCAAAAATCGAAGCACTTTACCGCCCCAAAACGTGATGACAGACACAAAAAAAAAAACACACATCATGGTAAAATCAATACATTCATCGCTCCGCTCAGAATCTAAAATTATTTAATTAAATATTTATTATTTACATTACACTAACCTGGTGTACACATATCTGTCAATTCAAAATCCATATCTGTCATTTCATTATCACTTAAGCAATCACAAGAACTTGTGATATTTTGTTTTTCCTCGATTCTTAATTTTTGATGTTTTATTATGTTAAAATTTACTATAACATAAAATAAACTAGTTCATCAAATTAAAATTATAATGAATTACAATAATAAAAACCATACAATTTTTTTCTAATTTTTGAATTTTTTCCATTTCACTTAAGTTCTTTGTATTTTTATTAAATTCATTACAGTCATAAACTTTTTTTGTGATTGTAGGTTCTAAGTAATAAAAATTATATTAATTATTTTAATAATATTCAGTAATTATTATTATTTTTTCACAATGTAGTTGGTTACTTTCTGGGAATATATGACTCCACCTTCTCCGATTTGATGTTAACTTAACGTGATATTGTGATTTGTCAAATGGATTCATTAGACCTCGTGAACGTATAAATCTCAAATTATTTTTGGCATTTTGTTCCAATTTAGTATAATTTTTCAAACTTTCATCTATACTACAACTTCTATTTCCTGAGTAAATAGTAGTAAAATAAATTATTTAAAAAAATTATTATTGAGTCAATAAAAAATCTTAATCCATGATTACTGTTTATGGGTGTTAAATCTATAAGTTCGTTTTGGCTTTTGGGCGGAGGAGTATTACTACGTTGTTTCAGAGGAGAAACACTATGACTTAGAGAAATCGAATCATCAGAATTTACATCAAAACTGCATGTACTGATTTTAATATTTTTCGAAGCACTGATTTCGTTAGATTTATTTAGTGACTGAATGTCATTGATATTGCTGAAAAAAATAAAGTAGGTATTTCCTTAATAAGAAGAATATTTTAATATTTTTGATTAGTTACTAGTTACAACTATTATAGATTTATATACTTACTATGAAATATTAATACTAACCATTTRTGTAAGAGAAATTATATTACAAACTTAATTTAAACAAGAYTGTCGTCATTTTGATGATTCTAATGTTTAAAATCATTCTCATTAATATGTTTAGATAAATGTATATTACCGAACCTAGGCATTTTAGTTCTATGGTATTTGTTGAAAATTCCAATATCATATTTTATATAATCTTTTGCAGAGTTGGTGAACTTATTTCGTAAAGAAGCTGAACAACTATTTGATGACACTGTTTTCAAACCCATTTTTGGACGATTTAATAAAATGTTTGAAAATTGATGAGGTACTTTAATCCTAGGCACAAATGTAGATCTCTGTGGCATGTGGTTACTTCTGTAAAAGCTAATTAAAATAATTAATTCAAGTTGAGAAATTAGGACAATAATATTAATACATTTAAATAAACATTTTAAAAGTATAATTATGGTAAATATAGTAATACTGTAAATATAAACAATATACAATGTTTATAAAAGTAACTCGTAAGCATACAATTACGTTATATTTTATTGTTCATTTCAAACTTAAAGTAGTTATTTAAAAAAATACGCTTTACATTTTATTCAGCTTTAAGTGCAATAATATTCAATCTTTTA